TTACCATATAGAATATTTTACTTTTTTTTCTACCTTGGCTAATTTAGTGCCAATTTCTACTTCCCTAAATTTCAAATCTTTTTTTTGTCAATTTCCCAGTCAATTCTTTAATCTCTTTTACTATTTTTTCAGCATTTAACGGCTTTTTTATTGGTTTTTTACTCGTATTAAGGAGGTTTACTCCGTTATTATTTATGAACTTATTATTCATACTTAAAAAAAGAAAAATAAGTAAATAAAAAGGCTATTTCCCAAATTGTTCACTGGGAAATTGGAAAAAACTCTTTTTTTCATTTTGGAATTTATTCCAAAAAGCCGGGTTTAAGTCAAAAAAAATTAACAATAATAAGTATGAGTAATAAATAATAACGAGGGAGTAATACCTCCTGCGAAAAGTAAAAAACCAATAAAAAAAAACCTTGGGTCTGCTTTCCGTAACTGACAACCAAGCCACAGAAATTTCTCAATAATCATGGCAAGTATAGAATTAAAATTTCAAGGAACTTTTAATAAGTCTGATTATTTACAAGAATTTTCCTGTGGCATTTGTCAGCAAGCCATTACGGAGCAGGATATTTATCAGAGCAATTATCGCCTTTATGTGAGTGATTATGCTAATGAAGTTGAGAAAGAAGAATACTTTTCCCAGCGGTTAGGTCGGAATCTAACCGCTTACGGCTTAAACTTCTGATTAAAAGCCGTGGAGCATTTGGAGTGCCCGGAAGGGGAGGGTTAATCCCTCCTCTTTTCCTTTTTATAGCACATCTGCGTTTGTGCCTAAATTTTGTTTAGCAATAAATTAGTGATTTTTCTTTCAATTCTTTCTTTATACTTTTTTAAACTATTTTCCTCTATTCCTGCTTCGCTTATTCTTTTTAATAGCGAGTGAGGATGTTTCAATATTGATTCAACTTTTATTAGTTTTTCTGATAAATAATTAATCTTTTGTTCTGGGTTTTTATCTGCGTTGAAAATTATTTTAGAATTAGCTGTCATATATTTTTAATGGATATAGTGGCAGTTCGGTTTTATATATCTATTTTACATTTTTACTCTACAAACGCTTTTCTTCCCTTGGATAAGGTTGGATTTGTTTTTTAATCTCCTTTTCAGCTAATTCTTGATAAGTTGCCAAGTCATAATTTTTTTGGAAGTTTAACCAATATTCCGCACTTACTCCAAAGTAAAAATAAAGGCGGTAGGCTAAATCTACGGTCATTCTCCTTTTTTCGGCCAATAATTCCCTAATAACTGACTTTTTTACTTGAATATTTTTGGCTAATTCTTCCCCTTTCATATTCAAGGGTTCCAGGAACTCGCTTTTTAAGATTTCCCCTGGGTGAATTGGTTTTAATTCTGGGTCTTTTACCATAATAAATTATTTTTCTACTTTCTATTATGTTAATTTTACTTGCCGTATCTTTTATTGTGAGAATTAATTTCAATTTCCTCGGCATGATTAGCACCTTTTTTATCTCATTTGAAATTTAGGGAAGTAGAAATTGGCACTAAATTAGCCAAGGTAGAAAAAAAAGTAAAATATTCTATATGGTAA